TTTTTAGCAGGCCTAGTGGTATAGGCTTATTTTAGCTGCTTAAGTGGTTAAATTTTTTTTTTAGAATATTAATAACATTCTATGAGAGTTACTATTTCTTATATTCTATATTGTATTTTACTATATTAATTGTTATATAACACTCAGCTTTAGCTATAGGGCAATATAGAAATACAATTGATGATGATGATGATGATGACAACATTGGCAACAATCTCTGTTAAGTGACTTGCCTGTTTACCTCAGTTTGCCTTTCAGTGAAATGGGGTTCACCGTAGAGCCTTGCAACCAGCCATTTTTAATCACTAACAAACTGGTTGCCTAAATCGAAGCTCCAGATAGCTATAAGGGTTTTAGGAGACCAGGTATCTTTCCTCCCATTGCAGAACCAAGTATGATATCATTCAACCCTTTTGAACCAAGGTAAGGCAAGGCATTCTTTTTGCACATGGCTAGATGCTAAATGATTGTCCTGCATGCTGAAGTGTTCTTAGGATCTTTGGAGAGGATGGGCAGAAGACTAGTTTTAATTGCCTGCACTCAGTCGAACCTCTTGGCTTTGCGTGCTCTTAGCTGTCCTGCCAGTGGGCACCAAGTGCCCCTGGTGGGACTAGTGTAAACTCCAGCGTACCTAAACCTGGATGTTGGCTGTCATATACAAGAGTCCAAAATTGGCAAATGATACTGAAGAAGGTGGTGGGAAGTGGGATATATATGCACTAATCTATAAAAGATAAGTAAAAAATGTCACTGTGCATGTATTCCATTGTTTTATTTCATCAGCTCATTTATTAATTCAAATGTACAATAATAATAAGTTATATATACACAAAATTGTTACAATACAAGCATTTTGGGATATATATATATATATATATATATATATGTGCAGAACTAGTTTTGCTGCTTGCTGCTTTTCCCCTGATGCTAACACAATAAAAAGCTTCTCTGTTTGCTAAACAATATAATTTTAAATTCACATTGATATTCTTGATTCCAAGGCCTTGATGTTCTTGAAGGCTTATAAACAAAAATGGTCACTATACTTTGCTATTTTTTGTTTCATAAAAGTAAATGGCAGCTTAGACTTTCTGTGCTGAATAATACTGCACATAGAAGGAGGGGTGAGGAAGATAATTTCTGGAGTTGCAAATGTGGAACTGAAATAACAGCATGTTTTGTTGAAATTCCACAATTATCTTTGGCAAATAGAAAATGCTTTGTGTTTGTGGATTTACCCAACCGGTAGAACAGAACAGGTGAACAGGAGGCTGCCCGTATGGACATCATTCAGTGCCTTCTTCCTCAGGGTTACTGTGCAAGAAGAAGTGAAAGGGGCAGATCCTGAAGTCCAGGAACAGGTCCATGGCCTTCTGCTGTAGTCAACCATCTCTGGATGGAGGCCTGTGCCTTACAGCGTCAAGCTTCGCAACAAGGAAGAGCTGCTCCCTTTCACTGCAGGGTTCAGATTTGCTCTGTGTACACAATGGATTGCTACTACCATGAAACCTGATCAGGTGCACAGTTTCAAAGTTATCAATCCAAGATGCCAGCATGAGGCTCTTCTGTTTGTTTCTATGTGTGAAAATACATTTAAAAGATACAGAAAGTGCAAGTGGGGGGGGGGAATGGTAGTTTAAGTTTTGTCATTGCCATTTAATTACAGGAGGTAATTTTATTATTCAGAGGGAAAAGGATAGTTCAGAGAAAATTTAAAAAGCTGGAATACAGGACCTCACATGCTAACAAACGGGGTGCCACACATGGATACATTAAATATTCATCACAATTGATCCCATTAGAGTAGGTCTGTTTTCTGTCGTCATTTATTTTGGACTGAGGAGTCAGGAGGTTTGACCCGGTTATTATTTTCAAGAATATGAATTACAGTTTTATATCACTTTTGCTCAGTCATGCAACTAATAATTTTAAAAATTGCTTTTGAAAGCCATGGCGTTTTTTTTAATAATAATAACTTACTGAAATCTGTCAACATAGCACTCTGTTAGCAAGTTTTCTTAATTTACAGTTTGGTTGATAATTAAACTACTACTCACTCTTAGACTCTGTAATTATGAGTTCTCAAGGACTTCCTGCTAAGAAAAGCAAGGATTTTTTTCCTTTACACTTTAAACATGCAAACAATGAAAACACAGTCCATATTATCAAGGGCACAATGCCAATGTGGAAAAATGACAGTAGGCTCAGTCAAAACTATTCTCCCTTTCCCCCTCAGTCCAGCTCTCGCAGAAGCCATGTCCCACCCTGTTTTCCAATCTGGTTGAAGCACATGTTAAGCAAGCTGGGCAGGAGGTGTGGGGAGCATGAAGGAAAATGCAGCTTCCCCTCCTTGTGGGCAGTCTGCTAAAACAAGTATGAGTCGTCATGTCCCATATTAGGTTGTTGCTATAACCCTGCCTAACATCAAACTTTTCAATGCATTTGATTTTATACATGTTAAAAACAAGGACAAAATCAGGCACCTTGTGCTAAATGAGGTAATTTAAACCAATTACCCCAATAAACAGTCATGGATCACCACCATAATACACAGCTCTTCAAACTTTCTGTCTACAGGGAACTTTTTTCAATTGGATGCCTGCACTGGTAGAGAGGGGGCTCATCTCACACATGTTACAGTCTGTTAAGAAAGATTCTTCCAGTTCTAAGGAGGAGGCAGAGGTAGGAAGGTGACTCGACAGCTTCAAAGTTACCCAGTGAAGATTCTCAGACAGAGCATGAGAAGTAGCCTGCCTTGGAAAAGGAGGGAGCCATTTCCGAACTGGAGGGAAGAGGCTGAGGGGTCATTCCTTAGCCATGCAAGCAAACCAATTAAGAAGTGTCTGGCATTCCTGCCAGCCATCCCTCAACCAGCAGGTGCAACCCTGAGGGTGGAGTTAGAATCCCTCTGAAAGGGAGGGAAGGAGGGGATGTATCAACTCTTCACATGTTCAGATGCTACTTCCACCTCTCAAAGAGATTGTTACTTTGATTTATGCTGTTCTGTAACCTGAGGAGCTCAAATGAAGGTCTGTGCTTCTAAGGGTTGATCTAAGTCTGCTGGAGAGGGAAAAGCAGGGGAGAGACTTGCCCATGACGGCATTTGGCATGTGCAGTAGAATGCTGAGGATTCTGAACTATGTTCTGAAATATATGTTTAGTTCACATGGGTCGCAGGGCATACTACTGGATCTTCCCAATACCTCACAATAATTCCTGTGTGTGTCCCCACAAACTCTGAAGGATGACAACCTGAGGAATATTGGTTATGATGAAAAAGATGTAATAACAAACTATGAGCCAAGCCTGCATGAGCCCAAAGCTTGTGTACACCTCTCTGTCCTCTCCTCCACTTGTGAAATTAGGAGACTGCATGTTCTTCTTTTTGAATTAACCATAGTTCCTTCTTACATCTGAACTTATAATGAGGTTTGTTTTAACTGTGGCTAGTTTAAAGAAAACTATCATCAAAGCATGGTTTGATATCCTACTTTATAAACTAATCAAAGACAGAACAAACTACAGTTCTCTGAGTCTGGATGTCACAATAAACTGCAGTGATTTCAAAAGTGGATAGTGTCTAACCTCTCTCATGGTAGGGAAGAGTAGAGGGGATGGTGGGGCATCAAGATAAGAGTATAGACCTATTCAGATTTGTTACTTTAAATGAATCAGGATGTGGTCTTTCAGAAGATCCTGAGCACACTTATTGATCTTTACTGGGTTAACTCCTATTATAATTGTCCAGGGAAAAGGCTGTTTTGGTTAAGTAGATGCATTTCTTGAGTTTCTTTTGGTGCTCGTAACAGTTTCAGCCATATGTAGTCATATTTTAAAATGTTCTGTACAAAAAACAGCTGTGATAGTAATTACTTTTTAAATTACATTTAAAATTGGACTGGACAAATTTATGAACAGCACTATAGTTGCATCATAATCTCCTGATCCAACCTATTTTGGAGGGCCAGTAAATACTCCTACATCCTTTTAAACATTTTCCCCTTCTGGTATATAAACTATAGCCACATTATTTTTCTACTAAATGCATAATCATATTCATAATTGGGTTCTGACAATGTCCATATACTAATATATATGAAATATTTCTGAAATGTCTGTTTGGACCACATATACTAAGACTTATGATGTGCTGACTTTTGAAGAAAATGAATAATGCAGTAGTTCTTTGACCAATTATAGCATAGCTATACTTTAAAAAGGGACTGCAGGTGGTGCAGTGGTTTAAACCGCTGGGCTGGTTGACTGAAAGGTCACTGGTTCGAATCTGCACAACGGGGTGAGTTCCTGTTGCTCCGTCCCAGCTCCTGCCAACCTTGCAGTTCAAAAGCACGAAAATGCAAGTAGATAAAAAGGTACCCCTTCGGTGGGAAGGTAACAGTGTTCCGTGCACTTTGGTGTTTAGTCATGCCGGCCACATGACCACGGAAACTGCAGACAAACACTGGCTCCCTTGGCTAGGAAACGGAGATGAGCACCACCCCCTAGAGTCAGGCATGACTGGAATTAATGTCAAGGGGAAACCTTTATCTTTACCTTTATACTTTAAAAACATATGAGAAGAAACTGATAATCAGTTAAATACTAGCTGTAGCAGAACTAGCCTTCTAATTTGTATCTGCCAGAACTATATTGGATGGTAATTACTAATTGCTGAGGACTGAAACAAAGTTAATCCATAGCAGATTTCTTCAAAGCAAAGCAAGGATATGGGATCTGTGCTTGTAAAAGGAGTCAGAAATGAGCATCTTTTGTTAGGTCCAGCCATTTTCATTCAAAAAGTCTTCACGTTGAGCTCCTTGCCATTGTCTGTGAGAACCAGTAACACATCTTGGCCCACTTTATTCTTTGAGCAGCAGGAAATGCTACTGAAATCTGAAGGCCATCTAAGCTTTCAAAATTCGGTCCCATGAAGGGTCCTGTTGCTCCAGGAGCTGATGTCCTCTTAAATCCTTGAGAAGTGAAGGTCACAAAAAGGCATGTCAAGAGGATACCACTGGATCCGGCTTGGGTGCCACTTGAGCCCACTCCAAGATGTCTGCACAGAGAGACTCCACAGCATCTAGCCTCTCAATCTGCACTAGTTTCGTCAGCAGTTCTGGAATACTGTAGCCTGCTGTGCTAATGCGGTCAAAAAGTTGCATGCCGTCTGTCATGCCACCGATTTCATCCCGCTTCAGCCCAAAGCTCTCAGCCAGGTGACGCCATGTCTTCACAATGGCTTTCTCTGTGTTGTACGTAGAACTAAGCATCCTGCTGGTCTTCTCCAGACAATCAAATGGCAGCTCGGTAGGGCTGAGGCCTAAAAAAGGAAATTTAGAATCAGATTAAGATGATGTTTCTCCCTCTTAGAACCATCTTTGTTTCCTTAACATGAACCTACGTTCACATACAGTCTTTATAGCACTGCCGCTGTTTATTGAATTATTCCCCTCACTGTTGCATATGTATTGCCCCATCCCCATCCCAGTGCCGACTATTCTTCCAGGTCAGTTCATTGCTTTTCATAGCATTTATTTCATCTTGCAGCAGAAACAGCAATAAGAAATTGCTTGGTGGTTTTATCTGCTTCAGCAGCAGATAGACCTAATGTGTTCTATTCCTTATCCAAGTCTGCGTTCCAATCTTCTATCTTTTACCAAAAGTCAAAGATTGTGGAAAAACTATGGATCCCTTCCTTATTTTGCAGTTCCCCTTCCCCATCTTTCTGCTTTGACCATCGATGCATTAAAAGGCAGGAACATTTAACTGGAGGTCTATGACTGGGGGAGAAAAACAGGCATCCAGCAACAGTGAAGGCAAGACATGTCAGTCAATAAGCACTGGAAACCTTAGAAAAAGGATCCTTTTCCTTTCTTTTTAAAGGAAATACTATTTTCACCTTGGGAGTCAATACGTATTTCAGGTAAAAGTTGAAATTCCTGGTGGGACCTACTAAGTTCCCCAGGGTAGGTGAGATAAACAGGAAATCAATCTCTGAGAGCCTTTTTCAAAGGCTACCTCTTGGGTAAGAATAATAGCAATGACAACTACTCAAAAGGAAGAACTGCTTCTGGAAAGGAAAATGTGGGTTTTATCTGCATCTACTGATTGTGACATACTGACATTCTTGAAGCTTCATACTACTCACTTTAAAAAGAGAATAACAGAGTTACACATTCATTTTTTCACTTTATACAAGTATGTTCTTCTTTCACCTACCTTCTGCAAAGCTGCATACATTAGCATACAAATCAAGTATCTTTTTCCTCCGACTTTGTATCTAAGAAAAACAAAGGACAAAAACATTTCTTTTTATAGAGAAGACTTTCATGGTTATCTCAGAGATGTGTGAAGAGACTATCAGAAGCAGTAAGTTGTGTGTATTCTGCAGTTTCACAACCAAACAAAGCAGTACTTACTTTGGTATTGAGTGTAAAATGCAGTCTCCTAAGAAACTTGGGGGTGTTTTTAAAGCACATATTTAGCTTTTATGGATGTGAAGACAAGCTTGTTGTTTTTCAAAGTGTGGCCATTCCCTCATGAAATCTGAGGTGATGCTGAAATCAGTTTCCAAGGTCCAGGAAGGGACTTTCGTGTCCAATATTGTTTGCCTCTTTACACTACAGAAGAAGATGGTTAAGCAAAACAAACTAATATAGGCTTGCATTGGATGGTATGCGGCAGAACTGAGGTTGCCTTGGGACACACTGTTCATTGTGGGCTGGATCCAAAGGTGTTCCCATCTGGCCTCTGCCAATTCTTTTTCCTTCTTCAGTTCCTTCTTCTTAGGGCAAACTAAGTACTGCTGGAGGAAGAACGGCTGTGCTAAGGGGGGCTCTGCTGTCATTTCATGTGGTGCAGCACACTAGCGGACCACTTGTGAACCCTGCAGTTTAAAAGCAGTTGCACAAGCAGAACTTCAGTTGGATTCTGCCCTTGTGCATGCTTCAGAACATGGTTTCCACCAGCACAAAATCATTTGCCATGAGCAAAATGCCTGTCATGGATATAATCCTGGGCACGGCCATTCTGGAAGTTAGGAGTTGCCTTTCACTATTTAGCCAGTATATTAATGAAACAAGACCGATAGCTTGTGAGTTTAGTAAAAACGCAAGTTTCCTATTTCAGTTTTCATCTCTGGTATTGATATTGGCTAGAAACTGGATACAGCCTATTTAATAGTCACTCCACCAACCTCAGCTGTGATCTCCTTCTCGAAGGATTTAGGTCAGTGATGGCAAACCTATGGCACGCGTGCCCCAAGGGGCACACAAAGCCCTCTTTGTTGGCAGGCATCGCCCAGCAGCCATACACATATTTGGGAAGATTAAGGGTGCCAGGCCTCATTAGCCGCAACTCACTGAGCTTTCACATGGCCAGTCAGTGAGCTGCCAGGCTTTTGCTTGGACTGGCTGTGATTTTAGCAGAAGCCCCCACAAGGTAGGAAATACACTCAGATGCCATTTTCAGAGCGGGTGGTCAGTGGAACATTGCCCCCTCGTGCTGGTGGTCAGCAAATTCAAGAGGAACCCCAGCTGAAAATCACTGCCGTAGGTTGTTGATTCAGGGAATATCCAATTCTTTAGTGTTAACTAATAGTGTTAGCTATTTTTGGTATAGGGATAGATTTGTATTGGGTGCTTCATTTTTTAAAATGTCATGTTTTTTGTAGTTTTTTGAAGACTACAGCAAAAAAAGCAAAACTGAAAACAGATAGTGAAAGATCATTCCAAGGGCCTTGGACAGAGTCATTTGGAGTGATTGAATGCAAAGGGAAAACATTATGTATTCTGTGTAGTGAAAGTGTTGTGTGTCACACATCAGGTGCCAGACGACACTTTGACACCAGCCACAAAAGTGTTGCTGAACTTGGTGAAACTGAAAGGAAAGAGTTTCTTGAACGGAAATTGAGGAAATATCATTCCCAGTATCGTGCAACTATCTTTCTAAAACAAATCATCTGACAGCTGCTGCCTTCAAATTTCACTGTGCATAGCAAAACATGGTAAGCCCCCCTCTGATGGGGATATTATCAAAATGCATATGGTCTAGGAGTAATTCCCTTTTTCATGATTTCCCAAACAAGGATAAAATCATGCAACTCATCTCTGAGACGCCACTTAGCAGAAATACTGTTAAAGACTGAGTCCTGCGCATGGCAAGCAATGTTAGTCAGCAGCTCACCACCGACTTACAACAGGCAGCCTGTTACTCCATGTGCTTGGATGAAAGCACAGATATAAATAATCATGCAAGGCTAGCAGTAATTTTGTGTTAGGCTGTTGGTGATATCATGAGAGAAGTGCTGGTGAAACTGGTGTCTTTGCCTGGAAGAACACAAGGGATAGATACCTACAATGCTGTGATGGAGGCTTTTTTGTCACAAGAAGACCAGAAAAAGTGGTTTCAATTACCAGTGATGGGGCACCTTGCATGGTGGGGGCAACATCTGGTTTCATACAGTTCTTTGTTAAAAAAGCAAAACATTCAGTTTCATTGTATTATACATGAAGAAGCTGTTTGTGCCAGGGAAAGTAGCAAAAAATTAGACAATATCCTCAAAGATGTCACAAAAATGGTGAATTACATCATGGCTCATGCTCTTAATTTTTGACAGTTTCAAGCACTTCTTGATGAGGTTCAGGCACAGTATAATACTTTACTTATGTGCAATAATGTCCGGTGGCCGAGCAGAGGACGAGTCCTGGAGAGATTTGTAGCCTGCTTGGATGAAATTAGGCTGTTTATGAATGAAAAGAAGCAGGAATATCCACAGTTCACTGATAAGGCCTGGCTTAACAACCTCATGTTTTTTACAGATTTTACACTACATTTCAATGTACTGAACAAAAAGCTACAAGGTGTAGCGAAAACAGCAGAAAAGATGTTTGTGATATCAAAATATTTGGGAGAAAACTGCAGGTTTTTGAAAGAGACCTTGAAAGTGGGCAGCTGAAATATTTTCCAAATCTAAAAATGCATTTAGAAAATTCTACAACATTTACAGACAATCCTACAATACATCAGGAAATCTACAAGGAATTTTCTAACATTGTAGCAGCTGCAAAGGAGAATTTTAGTAACAGATTTTTACAGTTCTGTAAGATGGAGACAACCCTGTGTTTTCTTACTTCTCCAGATAAAGCCAAATTTGAAGAACTTGATCTTTCTGGTTAGATCTACACTAGTTAGATCTTGAAAATCTGGAAATGGAGCTATTGGCATTTCAAGAAAGCTCTATCTGGAAAAATAAATTCTATGACCTGTGTGCAACAATTGAGAAGACAGATTGTGAAGGGATGACAAAGGACAGCACAGCTGGTGGTTCAGAAAATGGAATCCTTAAAGTGTGGAATTCTCTGCCAAATAATTTTAAGTCAATGAAAGCACTTGGGATTGCTTTTCTTACTTTGTTTGGATTATATTATACTTGTGAGCAGCTGTTTTCAGCTTTGAATTATATCAAATCTGATACAAGAAACAGACTAACAGATGACCTGAGTGCTCCATATGTTGCTCTTAAACTAACTAAGTATAAGCCAAGGTTTGACAAATTATCAGCATGCATACTACAGCAAATATCACATTAATTGTGCAAACGCATTTCAATATAAAGCTGTTTGTATCACTGAAAGCTCTGTTGTTATGTTTTTCTTTTAAGGCAAAAGATGTTAATGTATGAGTTGTTTTTTCTAAACTAAAGCCTCAGTTTTCAGGTTTTATTGCAGTGTTGGCACTTTGCGATAAATAAGTGGGTTTTGGGTTGCAGTTTGGGCACGCGATCTCTAAACGGTTCGCCATCACTGATTTAGGTCCTAACTATGCATCATGCTAAATGCAACATGGCACATGATGTGTTTCTGTTCTTGTTATTGTTGTTGTAAATTAGCAGCTGAACATTTCAGTGGAAGGGCTTGGTCCTCGCCTCCTGCACCATAGTTCCAATGAACACACCCCATCTCTGCAACCTTTGTGTGCTATATATGGAAAGCTGCTACCACCATCAACAGCAACTTGCTCCTGCAGGAGGAGTGCAAATTTCATTCGGATTGTACCAAGGAATATAAGCCATGCATTAGGGGGTTTAAATGAGTTTTTTCATCTGAATGGGGACAGTATCTGTTCAATTAACAATTCAATTAACCTCCAAGACATATAACCAAACATGTTGTTGACCCAACCGGTCAAAAGTTCAAGTGAGACTTACGCCAGTTGATTTGTTGTGTGTAGAAGATTTATCTCTAGCCAAATGTACTAGGGACAACAGGCACAGTTCTGGAGTCCCTTGCTTGTCAATGGCTGCTTCTTCATCACTGTCCATGCTACGGCTTAATAGTCTCTCATTCTCTGAAGAAGCATCATTTTCACTGGGGAGAAAAACATAAGGATTGCTACAGCATGCATGGTTCCAGCAATGCTTTTTTCTTTGCCTTAAATTACATTTTTAATATGTGCATAATGTTTGCAGGAGCTAGGCTGAACCGTAAGTAAATTTTGCAACAGAATTCATGAAGCCAACAGAGCTTTTTGCATGAAAATAAATATTCTCCATCTGTATCTTGGATGTTAAAATGAATACAATCTTTTACAACATAATCCTATTGATTATGAGTTCTATAAGGCTTCTTCCCAGGTATGTGGACATAGGATTGCCGCTTATCCCAAGGATGTGAAATGTGTGGCCTTTCAGATGCTGTTGGACCTCCATTCCCATCATTCCTAACCATTGTCTGTGCTGGAAAGTCTAATGGGAGTTGCAGTCCAACAACTTCTGAAAAGCTATACATTGGCTGCCTCGATTTATCTATTCTGTGCCTTCCCCTTTCCAACGGGATCCACAGTCACATACAGTATCTCAGTCCAGCAACCTGTTACATGGATGACTTGTTCTTTCATTTCAAATGAGTTCCTTTTTTACATACAAATATTGATTCCATACCTTGAAATGGATGGGGACGATTGCATATTCAAAGGATTCTTGCATTGCAGTACTAGGGGACTTGTTTTTTAAAGCATGCCATTTCATTTTAAATGCTTCTTTTGAGCCACTTAAGCAAAAGAAGTCTGCAGTCCTAAATGAAGTCAGTGGGGCTTGCTTCTGAGTAAACACATTCAAGATTGCACTGCATACATTTCTTACAAATCACAGTTGCTCACTATTGTGTTCCTTTTCATTATCAATATGCTTGTGCTGTTACCACATACCTCTTGACAGCCTTAGCTGGAGTGGCTGTCAACTTTCCAAACTCATCTTTCTCTGAGAAAATCACCACGTTTTCTGTAAATTAAAAGAGAAAATTGAACTGACAAAAAAGCACTGCAGTTGTGACTGTGCCTGCCTTGCTAGCTCCAGTATATGGGTGTTCAGGAAAAATTACCAAAGTATAGTGCTGAGTCTTAATTAGGGGTACATTCAATGAAATTCTGGGTTGCACAGATGCTTTCCCAATTATTAGTCTCCTAACAGGAATTTGAGTTAAAGCCATTTAAAAAGTACATTTTTACAGGACACTGAACCAGGATCATTTAAGCCCTGTAGGATTTGATGTGTGAAAAACAGAAATTACAAAGGAGTCCAAACCTTGTGCTTCTTTTTTCTCTTCCTGTGTATTGGCCTGGGCTTCTACCGTCTTCACCGAATGGCTGGTGCAACAAGCTGAAATGTGAAATCATGCCTTTTATTAATATTCATCAGCTCTCAGCAGGTGTCTATAAAGCACGGTATCTCAAAGCTGGAATTCTTTTTATTAACTGGCAGCTTACCTTGAGCTGAAGTTTTAGTTTTCACAATGTAGAACATAATGATCAGGACAATAGCAATAGCCATTATGAAAATAGTTGACATAGCAATGATAAGAGCAGTAGCAAGATGTCCTTGTCCAGTAAGGTCTGCTGTAACCACAAAGAGATAATGAAAAGTATTATTAAATTGTTTGAGTTAATTGCCCATGTTATTTAAATAATTATTAATTTATATTTAATAATGTATGCATTTATTTATTTATTACAGCATTTATATCCTGTCCTTCCACAGAAGCACTCAGGGCAGCTTGCATTATATAAAATTATGAAATACAATATTAAAACTACAATTATTAAAATATCTAAAATTGAACATTATAAACTAAACTAAAAATAGCAAAAAAATAGAAAGTGTGACTGAAAACAAAAAGAAATAAAAAAATCTTAAAATGTTTAAAACCCATTAATTGTTAAAATGATGGTTAAAACATGAAACCGCTGGGAGAGGTCATCAGGAGGTGTGGGCTGCAGAATCATCAGTACGCTGATGATACCCAGCCCTACCTCTCGTTTTCTACCAATCCAGGTGAGGCAGTGACTGTACTGAACCGGTGCCTGGCCAAGGTTATGGGCTGGATGAGGGCCAATAAACTGAAGCTCAATCCAGACAAGACGGAGGTCCTGTTGGTTGGCGGATCGGGCTTCGGGGAAGGGGACCTGAACTTAGTCCTGAATGGGGTTGCACTCCCTCTTAGGGACAAGGTCTGCAGCTTGGGAGCGCTCCTCGCCACCGCTGTCACCTGAGCTTCCAGTGAAAGCTCTGGGTCGAGGAGCACTCC